TATTTTTTTTTTTCAAAATATTTTACCGTACAGGATCTCACGACACTCGGCGCTAGTGTTATTTCAGATTTGAGGTTCTGTCTTCTGGGTTGTTGCGCCATGTAGTCTGGTAGAAATTCACCGACGTTTCAGAGGTGATACTTCCTTCATCACTCTCGTGAACCGTAGGCAAACGTATACCATACAACATGCTCTAACAACCCAGAAGACAGTCGTGTTGTTATCAGCAGTGTCCATCCATTATGACAACACGTGACTGTCTCGTTCGAGGACTGAACCCAGGTCGTTTCCCCCTCATGATCAAGTACATTACTGACAGATATTTAGGCACCCTGATGATCTCGGTGATTCGGATTTTATGAATTTAGTGTTCAAAACAGATAAATTACTGTTCTTCGGAGTGGAGAGACCCTCGTATTTCTATTCCATATTGAACGTGACCTCAGAGCCCATATTTTTCCTAGCTTTCCCTTAATTCCTGGACATCTTGTGGTAAATAACTTCCTGTGAAGTTGCTTACTGTTATTGCAGATGGGGGATGTTTCCTCCCCCGCTGTCACGTGTTATTGTTACACCCTCACGAGCAATTCCATCAACTGAATCGCCACAATCTCTCATCCGAAATGACCACCCTCTGGCGGTTAATTTCGGCACCTCGCGACTGTCTTCTTTTAGTGTTACTGATACTCTTTGGCCAGTTTCCGGTGCTATTCATAACGCTATATCTTCCTGATTTGACGAAATGATTCTCATCATGTATCTTGGTAATCTGAAATACGGAGTTGGGAGTTTTAATAGACTAATTATTGATTAATTATTTGATTGTTTAACAGTGTGAAACCTACTGGTAACATAATTTACCAAAGGTTTTAACGTTCAGAAACTCTTTACTTTGCCCACAGCGTGTATTAATGGTTTCGTATTATTCTGAAAATAAACAGCTATTATTTCCCTAAATAGCATTGACCAGCTGATCGTTGTAACGGTGAAGTGTTGTGTTTTCTTTGAGGTACGGACTAAATGCTTAAATATTATTTGGACGAGTTTCAGGCTTCAGGGTTAGGTTTGGCTCTGAGTTAGGGCATTTTTAGTGGTAGGAACATTTATCTCTTGATTCACGTGGCAAGTGACATTACAGTTTCAGTATAGAAAATATGTACAAAATCTCAGACAGTTTTATTTCAGAATTAACAAATTACATTTTAAGTTACAAAACCAAAAGTCACCTGAATTAAGCATTTGTTTAATATGAGTTTAAATCGTTAGAATTTGCTGTAATACTATTTGTCAATTCATGTGTCAGATTTTAATAATACTTTGTTTTAAATTGCGGGAACTGTAACCATGAGTTCGTCTGATATCAGATCCGTCTTGCTTCATACAACGGGTACTTATGTAGGTCTAAAAGCTAAGGGCGGTATCGCACTAGGATGCCATGGCAGCGATACCAACAGCGATGCCATGGCGTCCAGCTGCCAGAAAAAGACGCCAGACAAGCTGCCAGCTTTCGACGCCAGTCGAGCGAACAGATGGATCGACATTATGAGATCACGAAATGAAGGGCTATTAGCAAGGAGAAATGTCCACTTTTATCACTTTTGAGAAAATGAGATTTACCTTTATCAAAACTACATACCTGGAGTGAATTTCAATTCTGTAACAAAGAAATAAGTAAAAAAAA